CAAATTTATTACATCTAAACTATTCAGATCAGATTTGGATCATTCAGATTTTTCCCCCCTTCTAACAAATAGCAATACAGAAAAGGTTTGACGAAAAATACATGGCAGGAACCACCAACTGCGTGAGGATGTGATGACATGGAATCTTGCTGACTTTTCTGGTTCTATTTTGGTTCACAAAATGTAGACCCTTTTAGTTGGCAAAAAACGAGCCATTTTTTTGCTTATAAAAACGTCAATAATTTTTTGGTAAAAAAAAAAAAAAGATCGACAACTTTATGTTGACCATATTTTCCTTTCATTTCTTTAAAAGAAACTGTTAATTAATTTTATTGATTAGCATTTAATTAAAATTTCACCCAATAATCCACCGTCAAGCTCCACAAGGGAGGTCCGTGCTATCCGCCGGAGAAATTGGAGTGCGTGCGTGTAAGTTAAAAAAAAAAAAGCAATACTTTGAAATATAATATAGGAAAAATTGACCACAAAATACCATATGAATTTAAAAAAGACAAAGAAGGCATCCAAATAAACAAAATGACAAAAAAGGCATCAGATACCAATCAGGAATTTTGATTTTTGGCCTTAAGACCAAATTGCCCTTATTATGTTTGAAAACTGAGGAGATGGAGAAAGGTAGAAACTGCCTCCACTCGGTGAAAGCAATCCCCTCACTCAACGAAACAGAAACTGTCCTTACTTAGCAAAAGCAATCCCCCCACTCGATGAAACCAAATCCCTCTACTCGGTGAAACTGAATCCCCCTACTCGGAGAAACCAATCCCCCCACTTGATGAAACTAAATCCAAGCTCCTCTAGTCACCAAAAAGGGTTATCCAAAATCACATTGTCGCCGTCATAGGAGTAAAGTGTCGTCGGTGAAATTGGTAAACATCGTTGAAGTACATTGCCCTATCTGAAGTAACTTGTACTCCGTGAAATTGTCGTCGTTGAGGAGTTTGCTGAAGTAACACCAACTGTGATAAACAGGTAGGAAACTTGAATATTGTTGTCAATAGAGCATTTTCGATGGGTCCCCAAAGCTTAAAATGTATTTGTGCAGTAATCCTCTTTATGGTTCCGTCTCTGTTCTTTGCACATAAGTTGCTATAGGATGAAAAAAGTTGTTTCCATCTTACTTCTCATGTGCTTGGTTGTGTACACATTTGGAAATGATTGTGATTGATAGTGTTTAATCCATATTGGGTGGTCGTTAATTGGAACAGAGGATTGCTTTTCTTGTGGTGATTGTTTTATTTGGATTTGAAGGAAAAGAACAAAATGAAAAGGATAGTTTTGTCTGTGTTATTTGACTTTGCTAAAAAGAGTATAGCTTTCTATGGGGACAAGGTGAGATTTTAAGGAAGTTGAATTTAGTAAAATTTTGTCTGCATGTGTGGCAATGATAAAGTTACTTTCATTTTCATTGAATAGTTTAGGCTAAAAAGTTTGTCCTTGCATGGGTAAAATTTGCAAAGGTTTTCCTATTCTGGTAATTTGGAAAGCAGTAATAAATTCTATTAGCTATGAGTAGTAAATTTGATGAGGTAAGTAGTAAATAGTACTAGTTGATTTTGTATTGAAATAACAACTATTGGTTTGAGAACGACTATATTTGTCTTGGTAATGACTACATTTGTTTGGACAATAGTTTTTAAATGATATGTTAATGAAATTTACTACATTAGTTAGTGAAATTGACTACATTTGTCAATGAAAATGACTAGATTTGTTATGGGAATGACAACATTGTTGTGATGCAAATTCAATTGACTAGACAATGATATTGATGTGTTATGTTAATAAAATCTACTACATTTGTTAGTAGAATTTACTACATTTGTTAATTGATTGGACAATGGTTTTTAGGTGATATGTTAATGAAATTTACTACATTTGTTAGTGGAATTGACTACATTCATCAATGAAACTAACTAGATTTGTTATGGGAATGACAACATTGTTGTATTGAAAATTCAATTGATTAGACAATGGTATTTAGATGATATGTTAATGAAATTTACTATATTTGTTAGTGGAATTGACTACATTTGTTAATTGATTAGATAATGGTATTTAGGTGATATATTAATGAAATTTATTACATTTGTTGTTGTAATTGACTACATTTGTTAATGGAATTGATGACACTATTATGAAAGAAATATATTATAATAAATGACTAACAAATGGTGTCATTGCAATAGGGAAAATGGTATTAGAAGTAGAAGGAGAAGGAGAGGCAAGTGGACAAGTGAAGAATGTGTATATGTTGTTTCTCCATGAATTTAAGTTAGGGAAAGAGTTTAGGAATAGGAGACAAAAAGTTAGGGAGGTAGCAAAGGCATAAAGGGAGCTGCCACCAGAGGAGAGGAAGAAATATAATGATAAAGTTAACAAACCAAAGAAGTAAGGGAAGAAGAAGAAGCAGATGAAAAAAGTTTCTTTTAACACCCGTTGCTCGGTTTGGCAATACAAGTCATTGGTGGAATTTATAAATAGCAATGAAAGATTGAAAGCCAAGGTACAAAGTTTAGGATTCTCAAGTTTGCTTGACATGGGATGTGAGAGACTGCCTCGTGACGTCATAGTATGTATGCTTTGAGCATATGATCCACCTACCCATCAATTTACAATGAGGGGGGAAATCAAGGAAATTGATGCAAAAGATGTTACAAAGTTGTTGGGTGTATCCCACACAGGGGAAAAGGTAAGAATAGATGTGGATGATGATGATAAAACATATAAGAGGTTGAAGAATGAATATGGTAAAGTCTTTTTTACCAAGATACTCAAAGACATTAAATCTAGGGAGAATGAAGAGAACTTTGAGTTCTTGTTTATGTTGTACACACTCGGAAGTTTTCTAGCTTCCTACCTCACAAACAATAGTGAGTGACAAGCTAGTAAGGGTGATGTGTTGTCCTATGAATGGATTTTGCCGATTTGATTGGGCCACATACATTGTGAACAACTTGTGGAAAGAGATGGAAGATTATGTCGAAGTGTATAGAAACGTAAAGGAAGACAATGAAGGGAGTTGCAACGTCGAAGGATGCATCTACCTCTTATTGATATGTATTTATTACCTTTGTTTTTTGTTGTATGTTTAAATGGAGTGATGATAAAGTTAATAATTTGATGTCGCAGTTATATCTTGCTGAGCACTTTCCATTATCTAAATCTAGTAGACATAGGTCAATAAATGCTATTCAATTTTGGACTAATAAAAGAATAAAAGAGATGACAAAGAAAGAAAGACGGAGCTGCAGAGGCTTATTGTATAAGGGGAAGGGCTCTAAAATTAGGGTTGAGAATGAGGAGAAAACAAGGAGAAGTCTTGCTGACTTACACCTGGTGTGTGCTTTGCTTGGTAATTTCAATGTGCATTAACAAGAAAAAGTGTTTGACCTTTTTTAATAATGTGATGCACGAGTTGTAGAGCTTACATCAAAAGTTGATGGCTGTAATTGATTTAAGCTACAAGAGGCTTTTTAGTACAGTAGAGGAGGAGCTCCATAAGGTGCAAATGACAAGGAAAATCGTACTATGAGAGATGAGGGCACTAGTGAAGTTAGAGATGAATATAAGGGAGAAGATGAAGTTGATGATGGTGATGATGATAATGAGGGAGGTGATGATGATGGACAAGACTCAGGTCACGTACATCATCATGGAGATGACTTGGACGAGGCCACATGATTAATGTTGAGGAAGAAGGAATACAAGTAGGAAATATGGATTCCCCTAAAGTTTCCCCCATAGACAAGGCTGTACAGCCCAGGAGATCACAGAGGGAGATAAAGTCGGCCATAAATTCTCCATGGATTTTGACAAGGCCTATTAAGAGGAAAAAGAGGAATTTGAAGGAAAAGGACAAGTTTTTTAACATGATATCTCATATGTGTTCAAGTCAGGATGGTGACAGGTAAGTTACTATTCGCATAACTATGAATGATATTACTTATAGTTCGTTTACTGATTAACTACACACATAATGATACTGGGAACACATTTTTAGACCTTTAGTTAAAATATTTGATAAGGATATCACTCGAGATCAGTTAAGCACACTTGGAGGAATTGAGAAAATAGGTAACCGAGTAAGCTAGTATTGTGGTCTTGGGCTGAGTAGTATAACTTTTATATTTGATGCTCATGTATACCTTTGGAAAAAACTAAAATTTACTTGCATACAGCTCATGTTGTGTGCAAGACTTTAATGGCTGATATGAAGAGCAAAGGAGAAGTGAAGCGGCACATATTTGATGCTGACTTTATGGTAAAGTTGATAAGATGTTTACAAAACTATTGCTGGTACATGACTAATATGTCAATGTTGTAGGCAATAATGGTTATGAACCCATCTTGGTGGGATGCTACAAAACGACAAAAGCAATTTTCACCTGAATATGTCGGTTATAATATAGGAGACTGTGACTTGATTTTTGGACCTACACTTGTTAGGGCTCACTGGTTTTGTCTTGTGCTTGAGCCTAAGATAATGAATTTCTATGTGCTAGATTCAATGAAGCCACGTTTTGCTGAGAAGAAGAGTAAGAAGAAAGGTGCAGCTGAAGGTGATATGATGACTGTGGTCACCGGATGTGTAAGGATATTGTTACTCTTCTTACGTAAGATGCTGTTTGTTTACCAATTTATTTACAAATGCAAGTATGTGTTGTGCAAAGGAATTGATTTTATGAAATAATTGATATAATAAAGTCCAATACCATTAGGAAGAAAAAAATGAGTGACATTATTTGGGCCCCTGTTCCTCAACAAAACAATTTGTAAGTGGTTTAGGTTGTTGATATAATAATGTATGAATGTTACTTTGTGTTTGACTCATAGACATTGTTTCATGTGCAGGCAAGACTGTGGCATTCATGTTTTAATATGATTGAGCAAATGAGAGCCCGGTGTGATGCTTGACTACAATGAAGAACATGTTGCTGATTTTCGACGAAACCTAATTTGGTGGATTGTTAATCATGAGCTCAATTCAAGGCGTGAAGAAGCATTGACATTGATGTCATCTCCACAACCTACAGTAAGGAAAAAGCAACATGTGTCACAGTAGTAAATTATACTGTTTAAGTTTAATGATGTTTAACTTATAGTTATGTATGTAAGGGGATTTACTGTTTTCAGAGAATGTACAGCTACTTGATTTGCAACATTTTTTGAGGGGGTAGGCAACTTTTCTGTCAAAAACAAAACAATTCGATACTGAATTTTACAAAACACATAGTGGGAATAACAACTTTCATAGTGAGTGTTACTACTTTTTCAATGGGTTTTGCAACCTTTTGTGAGGAGCTGGGCAATTTTTCTGTTAAAAATAATGCAATTCCATGCTAAATTTGACAAAACACATAGTGAGATTTACAACTTTCATGGTGAGTTTTACTACTTAGTCAATGGGTTTTGCAACCTTTTTTGAGGGGCTGGGCAACTTTTAAAAACAATACAATTCCATGCTAAATTTTACAAAATACATAGTGGTTTTTACAACTTACACAGTGAGTGTTACTACTTCTTCAATGGGTTTGTAACCTTTTCTGAGGGGCTGGGCAACTTTTTTGTCAAAAACAATATAATTCCATGCTGAATTTAACAAGACACAGTGAAATTTACAACTTTCACAGTGAGTGTTACTATTTTTTCAATTGGTTTTGCAACCTTTTTTGAGGGGTTGGACAACTTTTCTATTAAAAGCAATACAATTCCACGCTAAATTTGACAAAACACATAGTAGTTTTTACAACTTTCATAGTAAATGTTACTACTTCTTCAATGGGTTTTGCAACCTTTTCAAAGGGACTGGGCAACTTTTCTATTAAAAACAATACAATTGCACATTGAATTTTACAAAACACAGTGGTTTTTACAACTTTCAAAGTAAGAGTTACTACTTTGTGTAATGGAATAGACCATTCATAAAACAATATTTGCTAAAAACCAGTAGCCATATAACAGCAGATATATTATATATATTCAAATGACTGCACCTGAAGTACATCATAGTAAACATTGAACCATTAACTTTCATACTAACTACATGTGTAATGGAATGTACCACTCACGTAACAATATTTATCAAAAACCAGCAGGCCTGTGACAGCAGCTACTTTACATATATTGAAATGACAAGTTTACATTAAAATTAAACCATCACTTAATGTTTTCTTGTCATTCAACCCACAAAACATATCCTATTCGTTAAATATCATATACAAATGGGATAATCTATCTACTAACCCATCTACCAAAAATGTTAAGAAGGGTTCAAAAGTCATTCCATTTACACAAAAAATGACCATATCTATTGGCATCTAACTTCAACTCAGGTTTGGATTCTTGTATGTTCTTCTTGTGTGCCTAACTTGTTGACATGTGCTAGAATGGTAGATCTTCCTGTTTTAGAACTATGACTCTCATCTTTTTATTTTATGCCTTTCTGGTGGTTGACTAGTCAAAGGTGGTGCCAAGAACACTTGACTTGCTATATTTTCCCCAATAGTTGTTAGGATTTGACATGTCTACTGTCACCACTAGAATCATAGTCCTCTCATAAATCTTTTGCTGTGATGTAATCTTGTCGCATTCGTTAACAAATTCATACACATTGCAATTGATAGCCTTAATAGCTACACATGCTTGAGGACATGGAATGCTTGACACTTGCCAAGCTGCACAGGTGCATTCGTCTAAACAAGATCAACAATCTTGGAAGTTCAAGTGGACTTTTGCATCATCATTGCATCATCTTCTTGCATCATCCTTATATCATCCTTCTAGAAGGTGCCAAATGTTACAAACTTAGTGGAGGAGAACTTCTCCTGGAGAAGGGAGATTGAATCCTAGCTATTGGATTAAAACTTAATCATTAAGTTTCCTCATAATTTACTTGGCCTACATTTCTCCGGCTTTCTTGACGGCCTTTTGGAGCTCAGAAAAATTTTTGTCTACTCCATAAATTCCCTTTAATTCTAGAGAATATCTATAAATTTTCTTAGGCCATAACATTTCCTTTAAGCCTTGCATAAAAATCATTTACTAAAATACCCTTTTATCGGCATAATCGGCTTTTTAATTTATTAAAGCCATTCCAATGACCTTTTGGTTACAAGACTAATTTTATAAATTAGTACAACCTTTCAACCATTTAAACTCATTTTTCAATATATTTTTGAGGTCTCTTGCTGTTTTAATTAATTACTTCAAATGGTGTACTTTTTACCTGCCATAACCTTATAAATTCCCTTTAAGCTGTCTCAGGGGTATTTTTGTCATTTCTCTTCACAAAAGAGTCTTGGAATATTATTTTCCATTTTTTAGAATTTTCTGTATACTTTTCATTTTTACCCTTGTTGGCTGTAACTTTCTAAATTTACAGTTTAGTCCCTACTTGGACTTAACTTCATACAACCATCTCTTTGAGGTTTTACCCCTTGGCCTGTTTCTAGTTTCTTTTTTCTTTATGGGCCTCTGAGATTTTATTGAAGCCTCCAACTTTAATTATACCTCAGCCCCTGAAAACTTTCACTTTGCAGTTTTGTGCCTGAAACTGCTTTGATTTCCTTTCTCATCTTTGGGACTTCTGCTCAAAAAAGGCTTAGTAGCCTACCTTCTTTAGGCTATTTTCAGGATTCTAGACCTAGAAATTAAGATGTGACACCCAAAACACACACACAAACTTTTCTTCTATTCGCAACTTTATTATAGGGTTTCACAACTCTATTATTGATTTTAACAACACTCACCACGTGGATGCAAACTTCACGCGTACATAATTGCTTGCCACCTTTTTTGATTTCCACTACGTCATTCAAAATACTAAATATAAACCCTCATCTCCAACACACTCGTCCTCACTATTGTGCCATAAAGCAGCCACAAAAATGAACAACCCAAACCCCACCATGACGTAATGCGACATGTTTACTTCCTCTCTTACTACAAACCCTTTTGCCCACAATCAAAATCTACTAAATCAGCAATCTCAACAAAATGGTGACACAGAGGAGTAAGATAATACCATTTCCAAAGACTAGCGACTTAAACTTACCTCTTTTCAGCTTAAACGTGTTGCTTCGGCTTTCCTCTTTCCTTCTTCACATATTCCTCAACATCTTACTCTGTTTATTTTCTTCTCACTTTTAGCTTCTTTTTACCTCACTCACCAGGGCAATTCGGTCTTTAGGCCAAAAATCAAAATTCTAGATTGGTACCTGATGCCTTCTTTGTTATTTTGCTTATTTGGATGCCTTCTTTGTCTTTTTTAAATTCATATGGTATTTTGTGGTCATTTTCCCTATAATATATTGCATTGCATACGAGTGGTGTTGTTGATGAATAAGGTTTCACAAAGCTAGCCAAAGAGGAACGTGGGGACTAAATGCCAATTTGGAGTATTATTCACATGCAATTATTCAATAACTTCTCATTTTCCTTCAAGTGGTGCTAGAGACAACACTTCTATTCAAACATTATTTTCTTGTTTTTCTTATAAGAAACACACCTACTATCTTTACTTAGTATGTGGAATTAGGTCTAGTGGAATGAGTTAAATTCTTACAATGTAACAATCTTCAAATTTTTATTAGGAAAGGTGCCCATATTTAATACCCAACAATAACACCATACTCTTGTATGTGCATACTCATGATGTTTTATTCACACACAAAAAAAAAAAACTCTATCTTAACAATTTTTAGAATAAGAAAAATTCTCCCTCTAGGTTGGTCCGAAAAATGAAATAAAATTAAAAAAATAATACCCATTCCAATCCTTAATATAAGAGATAGTCAAGCGGTTAGACTTAATGCAAAATTTAATACTTTAATCCACTTTATTTTTCATATTTATCATTTTTTCCTGAACCAATTTGGCTAACTTATATGTTGATATATAATATAATACTACAAATATGGGTATTTTGGAAATATCATATCACATTGTTATAATTTATTTATTTGTCTAATTTTTTTAATCTACTCAAATTAATTAAATAATAATTATACTAAAAACTAGAGGTAATATTTTTTCTATAGAAGGAGGTGGTTTTTTTTTTTTTTTACTTGAACATGAAAATTTTAAAATTTTGGGTGGAGATTATATATTAACCAAGAAAAGTTTTGTATCAATCTTAAAAATTTGTTTATTTTAGTGAAGGTTTTGATATTAATGGTCTTGACTTATTTTCATACTTCAAGTTAAGATCACGTTTGGTACAAATCATCATTATTGCCAAGAAGTTAATTAATTTGATTGCTAGACACAACAACCTCTGTTGAAACACCAAAAAAATTAAATCTCATTGAGGACGTCAATCATTTTAAAGTTTTGAATTTTTTATTTTTCAGCGAATTAGAGTGATATTGTAGATCAAGTATCTAATTAAGAAATCACCTAAAAAGTTAGTAGTTAACGTATAACTGGAATGCGGTATAGTGGTTTAAAAGACACTATGTAAGAGGTAATTACCCTGGTCAAAACAAAATATAAGAGGTAATTAAAGTTCTAAACTAGCAATTATAACTTTAATTATGGTCAAGGGATAAATTAGATATTAAGAGGCAATTGAGACAATAATAATTCAAATTACCTCTTAAAATCTAGAATCACCTCTAATATTAAACGTAACTTAATTTAGCTTTGTTTTTTCACTGTGATTGTATTTTAATTGTTTTTTTAATTTTGGGTTAATGTTATTTTTAGCCCTTGAAATTTAACATCATTTTGGGTTTGGTCCATAAAATTTGAAACTGGTAATGTTGGTCTTTGATTTTGGTTCCCAAAATTTGAAACCAGTGATTTTGATCCCCGAAATGTGATCTGGTTTTAGTTTTGATCCTTGTTTCAGGACCAAAAACATTGTTCCAAGGATAAAAATTTATATGCCAACCAAAATGCAGTCAAATTTTAGGGATTAAAACCATTTGTTTCAAATTTCAAAGGCCAGATGGTTATAAAGGAAGTTTTTTCCTGTTTGTTGTAGTCTTATAGTTTTCCTCCTCTTTGAAGTAACCGTATTCAGTTTTCATTTAAAAAGTTTCAAGGACTAAAACCACTTGTTTTTAAATTTCAGAAACTAAACCCAAAATAATATTAAATTTAAAGGATTATGTATGATATTATATTTGTTTAAAGTTGTGTGTTATTATCGAGTCCTTTTTGAAAAAAGTGAAAATAATTATATTCTGCTTATTAGTTTATTACTTAGTCCGACGTGTTGCGAATAAGTAGGTTTAACACTTGAGCATGTCACAGATAGTGGTATGTGTGCCAATTGTTGAACAAGTGAAATAATTTAAGAATATAAACTAAACTTTAACTAACCTAGTCTCTTGAATTTTGTGAAATATAGTTCCAAATGACCTATAAATAGGACAGAAGGAAGTTAATGTTCTTCTGGTCCTATTTACAACTGACTTCCAACATGCTCTTTTTATATTTAATGTAAAGCATAATTAACTAATTTAAGTAGATGAAGGATGTTAGTTATATTAGCTAATATAATATTTTTTTTACTAAAATACCCTAAGTATCTTTCTTAATCCTTCTCTTCCTTCCTCTCCTACATGATTATTTTTTGAAAAATATCAATAGGGTTAATTTGAAAAAAAAAATTGATAAACTTGTGACATAGGTCTTACATATAAGACTAACATTAATTCCCTAATTAAGTACTATATTAAAGACCGGAGTAGTATTTCATATAGGCACGAAAAACCTTAAACTTTAATAACTTCTCTTTAAAATTTAATGATTTTCTAACTCTCTCTATTTAATGTATATATTATATCTCATAAAAACAAAGTTAATGTAATAATAAATGAAGATTAAAATTATACATCTATATATATTAGAAATTTTTCTCTCTGCCTTGTAAACAATATAAAAAAAATTTCTCAGTTAAATAGTACTAGAAGAGTAACTAGCAAAATCACTACTAAGAATGGAGACGGGCAGAGCTGTGGCCATGGAATTCTGAATGATGCTTATGTCCACCATTGACTTTGCATACTGATACACACGCATGCAAGGAGCCTTGTGCAACGTGGGAGTTGGGCAGTTGCTGCCTGCTGATTCGGCCTTGTGTACTCCCTAGACTTTGGACATGGGTCTACCAAAATGGACGTTTGGTTGGCCATTTAAGTTTAGTTTAATCAAGCCAACATGTAAAGAATAAACTCGTAAGATAATGAGTTCGAATCTGCTGCAAAACTTATTAGTAGGCGACCGACAAATACCTCTGTGAGTGTTTTATGAGCATGGAAGTATACTTTGATCATGATAAACCCTCAGTATCCAACTCACCTTTTTTTTTTTGGGTAAAAGAAAGCAGTTTAGTTTCATCATTTTATTAAATTTAATTATTAATGATATAATATTCTCACTTGTCTTAAATATTTGACACATTTTCTAGTGTATATTGTATTATAAAGTGCTTCTTATATTTAGGAATGGAGGAGTACCTTCTTCCCTTTCATATTTCATGTTGGAAAACAAATGGCTCAGGATAAGGCCAAAGCGAGAAGAAGAGTGCAACAGTAATATATTGAAATGAATGATATGCCACTCATTTGTTAATCGTTATAGCAAGGCGCTCAAAAGAATATATAATGCAAATCCCTTAATTAATTAAATTCGTTAATAAAACATAATCCTTCGGTCCTATATGTAAAATTCAGTTTATCACGTAATTTATACTATAAAATAAGTGATAAGAGGGAATATTTCATTTCAATAAAAGATTAAAATGAGATACCCATTTCTTTTGGACTTGTCCTTGAACCGCATCAATCAGTCCATCTTCGCAATTCCACAGAGAACAGTGGTCCACCCAGATGTGGCTTCCTCCGAAAATGGAGACTCCGTCGCCGTCCGACACCGTTCTCCACCCGTAATGTGTAGGAGAATCTCGTGCGTACGCTTTACCTCCTCGTTTACAGTCGTGAATGTTGATTCCGTGGATAATGACGTTGGTAACGAACTGGATAGTGATGCAAGGACCCCCTGCGATGTGAACATCGGCTCCTCTGCCATCGATGGTCTTGAAGGAGTTCATGATCAGTTCTTCTTCGAGCTTGATGACCATGTCTTTCTTGAAGATGATCCACAGTGGGTCCTTCTGTATAACGCCGTATCTGAGGGTTCCTGGCTTGGGACTCACGGGGTGGTCGCCGGGGTCGGTGACGACGTAGTATCTGCCGTCTCTGCCTCCGATGGCGTTCTTGCCGAACCCAATGCCGCAATCCGCCAGACGCTTTCTGTTCTTCTCCCATTTGGGGTCACACCTCCAACAATCATCAACGGGATTCCCAGTTCCGCAAGAAAGAAACCCCAGGTTTCTTCTCGACACATTGATGCTCCTGGAATAACAATTGAAACAGAGGTTATAAGTTACTGATATGAAGAATATCAGAAAATAAACATGGTGGGTGTGTGATGATTCCGAGACATACTTGTGTACTTGTTCGACTACTACTTCTGGATCTTGCAGTGGGGAAGAGAAAATGAAGGAAGGAGCCAGAAGTAGGAGGAGAAATGTAAAGGAGAATGGAATTGCCATATCTGTGTGCAGAAGCTGAGATTATGATGCAGAGAGAAAGAGAATGTTTGTGATTTTGTGAAGAAGGATGAAGACAAAGTGAGGTTTATATAGTGAAGAACCGAGAGGCTTGTCAGATTATAAAATGTTGGTGGGAATGGATAAAGCATTATTTATATTTCAGTTATGATGATGATTGCAAAATAGTTGGGCGTATGATTAGGCTCCGTAAACCTAATATTACGTACTAAAAGGATGTTTGATGCTTAAAGAATGCACATTTGACTTGTCTAATTGATTGAATCTTTCACTACAAAAAAAAAATGTTAATTGTAGCGGTTAGAGTGATACATTTCTAGCGGTTTTAACCGCAACAAATAACATTTGTAGCGGTTAACAAAACCGCTAGAAAAACAGGCGCAAGAAAAAATTTCTAGCGGTTATGGCAACCGCTACACATTATGGTCAACACGCTAGAAAATTTCTAGCGGTTTATAACCGCTAGAAAATATGTAAAGGAAAAACATTTCTAGCGGTTATGAAACCGCTACAAAATGTGCCCGGAATAAAATTTCTAGCGGTTTTATAACCGCTAGAAACATGCTAAACCAAATCAATTTTGCCGGGAAATAAATAATTTCAGTAGTGCGCGCAAATTTCTAGCGGTTATAGAACCGCTAGAAATGTTTGGAAAATTCAATTTTCCCGCCAATTAAATTTCTGGAATGGTGGCAAAAAAATTTTCTAGTGGTTTGAACCGCTAGAAATTTTGGCGCAAAATTTAAATTTGACGAAATATTTCTAGCGGTTCGTAACCGCTAGAAATGTTTACCATGCCACAAAAAAAATTTTTGGTTTTTCATATAATAATTTTAAAAACCATTAAATAAATTATGTTGAAGAATTTTTGTTTAATTTGTATAATTAGTTATATGTTACATTTTATATATTTAAATTTTTTAATAAACAATATGTAATTAAATTATGAATGTGTCAAAGGAAGTGAATTTAATTTAATAAGATAATTTAATTGAATATTTAATAAGATAGTTGAATTGAAGATGATATATTTTGTAATATTGAACCTATAGTGTTAGGTTGAGGAGTATTTGAATCAGTTGAGGAGGGCATGACAAGTGTGGAAAAGAAAAATCTGAAAGAAAAGGAGAAATAAATATGTTAGTAAATTTTAAATAAAAACAAATAAAAGATACAATGAATTATAAAATAAAATTCACTTATCATACAGTAAGGAGAAAGAAACCACCATATGAGATAGTAAGAAAAAAAGAGAGAATTATGAAGAAGAATAGGAGAGGAAAGAAAAGAGATGGAGTAAATAAATGTAGAGAAGATATGGTATTTATAGAGATCAGCGACACATTTGTAGCGGTTATTTTGTAGCGTTTTTTTGCATTTTGTAGCTGTTATTCATTTTCTAGCGTATATATAACCGCTAGTATTTTGTAGCGGTTTCATTTGTAGCGGTTAATAACCGCTACAAATTAATTTTTTTATTTTAAAAAGCTGAACGAATTTTAATTTATAGATATATATTTGTAGCGGTTAATAACCGCTACAAATTAAATTTTTTTATTTTTAAATATGTGAACGAATTTTAATTTATAGACATATATTTGTAGCGGTTAATAACCGCTACAAATTTAATTTTTTTTTTTAAATATCTGAACGAATTTTAATTTATAGATATGTATTTGTAGCGGTTAATAACCGCTACAAATTATAATTTTGTAAAATAAATTTGTAGCGGTTAGATAACCGCTACAAATTAAAATTTTTTTACTTTTAAAAAAACTGTACGAATTTTAATTTATATATATGTATTTATGGACGGAAAATTTTTTTAATAATTTATTTTGGATGCTGCTATTCTCCATCATCATCCGGCCTGAAAGGACACATTTTAAAAAAATTTGTTAAATTTATAATGTATTTGGAAAAAATTAGTAATTAGTAGTTAATTATTTAAATAATTTAAGAAAAGACGTGTACCTGATAATTGGCAAATTATCATCTCCTTGAGGAAAGAAGTCTTCAAAATTCGAGGGTTGGAAGGGTTCACTGTTGTAAATAATGTCACCATCACCCATATCATAAAGATCCCGTGGCTTGAGGTGAATGACCATATTCCAGTCTTTATGTTTCTCGTCCTCGACATAGTAAATTTGGTGTGCCTCAGAAGCAAGGATATATGGCTCATCATCTTCAGATGCCCCCGTATGAATAAGTCTAGAGAAATTAACTGAGGTGATGCCCAAATGGTCAGTAGCGAGTCCCCGTGAAGTTGTCGTATTTGCCCAGGAGCACTTGAACAGTGTCACGGTGAAAAGCTGGTAACTCAACTCAATAATGTCAATTAGCTTTCCATAGTAAGTGACGCCTCCAAAGCGCATATCGCCATCACTACTGCTAGCATAACATCTCGTTTCGAATGTCCCACAAACTCCAGAGTTTTGTGTGAGCAATCCCTGATCACGTCCAACCGTACAGAACTTGAAGCCGTTGACATTGTACGCGGTAAACCTTCGTGCATGGTCTAACGGACCGAGAGAAAGAGCTTTGAATTCATCTGTGTATGGGCTGTTGTCATTACGTATTCGACGTGTAAACCAACTGGGAAACTCTTTGTGGACTCTTTTATCAATGTCAGCAGAACGTGCATGGCCCCGTAGCTGACGCCTGAGATAACTCCTAAACTCACTATAGTAAAGTGTAATTTGTTAGAAGAGTCAGTAAGAAACAAATATAAAGTGTAAAAGCTAGTGAGCTTATATGATATATATACTTACTGCATGAAGGGTTCAACTTAGCTGCAATTTATCAAAACGTGTCTGTGTGCCTGGAGTTTCTCTGTAGGAGTGAGTCTGAAGAATTCATATCCTCCAACTGGTTTCCCAACAGGAGGAAATAAAGTTGACGTGGAAGGACTAGGAGGAGAATCATCTACGCGACGCGGGCGGTTAAAAGATGTCTCCATGTCATCAAAGTACCTCGAACAGAAATTTATGAACCGCTAGAAAAGGAGCTAAGTTTCTAGCGGTTTTCTCTAAACCGCTAGAAAATTACTAATTTTCTAGCGGTTTAGAGAAAACCGCTAGAAAATTTCACTATGTAATAAAATTCAGTTGATATTATTTTTAAATATTAAATAGAAATACTGCACAATAAATTAATAACATTACAAGAATAAATATTTATTAAATTAATAAATGATTATAGAATTATTTTGATTAATTAACATGTTTAACATGTTTAATAAATTGTAATGTTGATGTTGTAATAAATAAATAAATATTTCAATATTAATTAATACTTGACATAAATAAAATTATAGAAATAAATAAATAAAGTAAACAAATAAATATAAAATTTAAATAAATATCTAAATAGTATATAAAACCGTAAAATCAAAATTCTAATAAAATCCCATACAATGAAAGCAAGATAAATCATGGGTGAGGGGCAGAAGCAGCATCATCGTGATCATCCTCTGCTGGATCCTCCGGCTGGGGGTAGGCAGGCCGCTCAACCTGCTGGGACTGGACTGGCGGATGGGGGGGTAAGGGCAGGACTGGTGGCAGGTGTAGGTCGGGGATCTCAGGAACCGAGATGTTTGGAGCTATACTGACCACCACATGACGCAGAGCCGTAGCAGCTGCCAAGAGCTGGTCAAGCTGCGTCTGGAGCTGACGATCATGCTCCTGCAGCTGACGATCACGCTCCACGATCCTGGCCTCCATCCTGGCCTCCATCCTGGCCTCGAAACTCTTGTCTGAGCTCCTCTCGCAATTCCTCTGAGGATGAGGAACCCGGCCGCTTCACACTCGCATGAGAGCTCCCGGCAGTATATGAAGGGCCAGCGCCACTTGAGCGGGGCAACCTAGTCGGTGTAGGTCCAAGTCCAAGCCCGCTAACTCGACCAGGATGCTGCGGCCGGCCACGACCCGCTAAAAGTGAGGCGGTGGGATCCAAGGCAGACCCCTGAGACTCACGCAACTCGGAATCGACCTGAGTCATCCGTGCCTACCAAAATTAATATAAAGAATTTAATTATAATATAATGATATCTACACTGTGATATTATATTAATATTTAATTTATTACTTACCGCTATCTCCTCAACCTCATCCGACGCACGCTCGTCTCGAGGTCTATACACCATCGGCCACATCTCGCCATAAGTGGCCGTGTATCCCCGCTCCTGCCGTATCTTTTCCCTCTGTAAATGAAATCAAAGAAATAATTAGTTACAAATTAAATACATATACATATTTAATAAATTTATTTCAAGTACTCACAATCTCGTCATAAGTGATCGCAAAGCTCCTGGATCCAGCCCTATGACGTATCGTCTGATGCCTGACGCTCCCAGCATTTCTCCTAGAAAGAGCCTGAAGCAAAATGTAAAAAAATTAAATTAAATGAGTCAAGTCGGATAAAAAATAAAGAAATTATAATTAATACAATATTATCATACCATCTGGTCAGCCGTCATCCTAAAATAGACGTAACTGGACCAGTCTTGGTCTGGGACTCCACCAGGTACATCTGCCAGTATCTCCTGGAGGGGCCTCGTCCCGTCACCTTTCTTCTCCCTCCACAGGTCGGCCCTCCTGTTCTTCCATGCCATCCCAAGCCTCTTGATCGTGTCAGCCCTCAACTCCTCCCTTAGAATAAATTTACTCTATGATTAAAATAATAAATTTACTAAATAACAAATTATAAACAAATAATTAAGCAATTTCAATAATAAAAAACAAATAATTAGTTTTTAACTAATTTAAAAATATTATAAATAAAATATAAATTAATCAAAAACAAATAATAATTAAACAATTAAGTAATTTAAATGAAAAAATATTTTTACTCAACTAAATTTAAAATTATTATAAGTAATAAATTAATGAAATCAATAACAAATTTTTTTCATTTAACTACTTTTAAATAATTTAAATAAAAAATATATATTCATTTAACTACTTTTAAAAATATTATAAATAACAAACAAA